CCACATGATTGAGGGGTGTCAGCACAGAAACTTTGCATCCTCCAAAGTCACCATTAGCTGCAGCAAATGGCTGCAAGAGACGGCCAGTTTCAGGGGAGACTGTGTCAGCCTCCTGGATTGTGTGAGTTGCAAAGGTGTGAGGGGCAGCTTCCTGCAGCCCTGGGCAAGGCAGGAGAGATACCTTCCTGGCACTGGTTTCCTGTGAGCACCTGCCAAGGGCACACATCTAGATCTGCCTGCCAAGCCAGGTTATTTGGAATCCTGGCATAGAAATGTTTTCTATCTTTTAAAAAGTTAACACTATCTCATGTAGAGTTTTCCTGTCTCTACCGAAGTACGGTGGATGGATGTAAAAATTCCATTAATAAACAAGCTTTTCTCTGTTCACTCTTTTATTGCTAAGTAGGCTGATTCTAAAATTTTACTATCATGTGTAGAATTTATCTATGAATAATAATCACCATGTCTATGCTTCCTTTTTCTCTTTGGCTACCAGGAATCTTAGACTGAAATTTGTGATTTAAATATAGCCAGGGCCTTCTTTCGTGGGGTCTATTTTTGCAAAGTGTGTATCTCGTACTTCGTCTTTTAATCAATCTGGTTCTGATGCTTTGCTGCTTATTTACGTTTTATCAGGTTTCCTATTGTCCTGATCAGCGCCTACAGAATGAGGAAGGGCATAATTCTTAATCAAGCATCTCATAAAATGCTGAAGTAAACACCTACTGGCACCTGGCTTTCCCTCTCTCTAGGAATCACTAATTAGTACATTTAGCATCGTTTTCAAGGCATCAACAGATCAAGCACACAGAGCGCCCTTCAGGGTGTACCAGGCCCTTGGTACACTCCACCAGAGCTTTCCAAGGGGAAGTGGGAACATGGTTGAAACACAGTACAGGTGAAAAAACTGAACCTTAATTCGTACTCCAACTAGAAGGGCTGGGCCACACTGAGTGTGGGAGGAAGGGGGGGTGGCCTGAGGGTCTCCTGTGGGACCCGCCTCTCGATTCCCTCCCTTCGCTTCCCAACCCATCACCTCTGCACAGTCACCTCCTTGGACGTGGAACAGGTGTCTTGGACACTCTTGATGTGTCCCTCGTGTCCAACAGCATGACTGCGCCTCCCCGCAGCTCCCTGTTTTGCTGAGGTGCTGGCAGAGCCTCACAAACTGCAGGGTGCATCTTGAGTCCTACAAGTCTTACGTGGCCTGGCCAGTGAGGAATAAACCAGCACTGTCACTGTCTCTTAAGGACTGGACAGTAAATGACCATTTACATCTTCTGAACAGGGCCCCTGGGATGTGTCCTAAAATAGACACCTTATTTGTAATTTTTTTCATTATAAAAGATCACAGAAACATAATTTCATTTTTATTATGGCCTGTGAGAAAAAAACTACAGTAAATAGAGGGAAGATGGGTGTGGTGGGGCCTTTTTCTCCTCTGAAATAAAGAACATGGACATATCCAACATCCTGCTGGACTTTATGCTCCTGGCCCACAGCCTTAGCCAAGACTGGTCCTGCCCTACCTTCCCAGCTAGCAGGAGCCACTCCAGGCCAGAAGCTGCAAAGCCTGGCCAAGAAGGGTGGGCTCCTGATAGGACTCCAGGAGAGAGAAGGAAATATGTGACTACATGGGTGGATAGATGACCTATCCTGTGTTCCTAGAAGATGGAAAAGTTTTATTTATCTTTAGCATCCCGTGATACAGCATGGATCTTTGGTAAATGTTTATTGAATGAATAAATTTATGGATGGGTGGGTAATTGAATAGATGGGATGGATGGATAATGGGTGGATAGATGGACAGACAGATGGATGGGTAATTGAATGGATGGATAATTGGATGGGTACATGGATGGATGGGTGCATGGATGGATAATTGGATGGATGCATGGATGGATAGATGGATATATAGATGAGTGGATTAATGGATGGGTGGATGGATGCTTGAATGGATAGATAGATGATAGATAGATAGATAGATAGATAGATAGATAGATAGATAGATAGGGTGGATGGATGGATGGATGGATAGATGGTTGGGTGGATGGATGGGTGAATGGATGGATGAGTGCATGGATGGATGGACGCATGGATGAATGGATGCATGGATGCCTGGATGCATGGATAAATGGGTGGATGGATGGATGCATGGATGATGAATAGATGCTTGGATGGATGGATAGATGAATGGATAGGTGAGTGGATGGATGGATGGATATATGGGTGGATGGATGGATGGATGCATTGATGGATGGATAGATGGATAGATGGATGGGTGGATGGGTGGATGGGTGGATGGATAGATGGGTGAATGGTTGGATGGATAGATGGTTGGATGGATGGGTGGATGGATGGATGAGTGCATGGATGGGTAGATGAATGGATGGATGATGCATGGATGGATGGATAGATGGGTGGATGGATGGATGGATGCATGGATGGATAGATGCTTGGATGGATAGATGGATGGATAGATGAATGGATAGGTGGATGGATGGATAGATGGATGGATAGTTTGGTGGATGGCCGTTTAAGGATTTCAGTCAGTCAGCCCTTGAGTTCTTTGGCTTCTTTATGGATTTAAGTGGGCTCTACTAACTCTCGTGCCTTATCCCGTATCATATCCCTTGGTCTTCATCCTCCTGGTGAATCTTTACTCAGTTTTCAAGGAACAGCACAGTTTCCCTAACTCTTCTCTCTGATTCCTTCTTCCTAGCCTCCATTACCACACCCTGCAATCTTGTTTTATATCACATTTCGCTCTTTAAGGCAAAGACCAAGCCAGAGATTTCCTTTTGTACCCAGTGCAGACATACAGCTAAGTCTTTGCTTTGAGAATTAAATTGACTTTCAAGTTCAACCTGTTTTAACTTCTTTCAAGGCCCCCGGTGGTCTGTAGTCAGAATCCTATAAAACTCTCTTGGAAATTATCCGCACAGGAAAAGAGTGACTAAGGCTTTACCTACACAGAGGAAAATCAGAATTTTCACCCTCCCTGACTTGAAAGTTCCTTGTAAGCATTATGTATTTCCATTACACTATCATGAAAAGTTTACTCTCCCAGTTTTATCTCCAATGTGAAGAGGGACACTTCCTGGTTTAGCTGCTGGACCTAGGGTTCAAATGGGGGGGGGGGGTAGGCCGCTGCCAGTGCAGAGCCCTGAACCACAACTGAGACAGCTTGGAAAGCATAGGGGCCGTGACTGACAGGGCAAAGGCTCCAATCCACTCTCGCTCTGACTTTCGTAACCCAATAGGAACTTTTCCTCCGTGAACTTCCTTCCATGTCTTGTTACTCCACATACAGAAAGTGTTGACACCAGGACCCACCCGTCTGCAGGCAAAAAGACTGGTTCCTTCCTGATTGTCTTAGCCCTTTATTTTACAGATTGGAGAAACTGAGGCCCAGAAAAGGGAAGGGACTCCCCCAAGTTTACAAGGCAAATTATCCCTGGCATTGGTAAGAGCTGAGTTATGCCTTTGCCCTACTGATAACCCCCAAATTTTGGCAGGCTGCAACCCTGAATGTCAGGTCTCCTTGGAGATAATTGAGTCATTGAAGCAATTGCTGGAACTTAGACTAGGGGTTTGTTCCTCCACCGTAAACTACGCCGAGTTTCCCAAACCAGCAGTGAGTCCCAGTCAGAATGAGAGCCTTTCTGACATTGCAATCTGGTCTCAGCCCAGTTTTCTGGGTTGGCTACACGAAAGCTCAATCACCTGTGTTTTTAAGTCAACTGAGGAAAAACCTGGAATAGAAGAGAATTTCTTCTGTGGGAACGTTTCCATGAGCACCTAAAAAGCAAGGCAGGTCTTCTCCTGAATAACTGTTGATTCTACTTGCAATGTTGGAATAAAACCCACTTCGCCCTGCCCAGTGGTGAGATATGGCCTTGGCAGAATGGTGGCAAATTTCAGGTGAGGACAGGACACAGAAGAGCATGCTCCCTGGTGTCTGGTCCTCTCAGTGGGCAGAACCCACAGAGAACCTCAGCAAGCATCGCTGCGATTTCCATTGTTCACAGCCTCCCTGCCAGTTTGGTACCTGATTCAAGGTGGGGCCCGTGGGAGCTTGCAGGAATAGTTTCAGTCCAAGTTCTCTGTCCCCAGAAGAACAGGATGGATGGGTGGATGGATGGATGGATGGATAATTCGATGGATGGGAAAGAACCCAGTCAATCGCTAGTCCCTTCATACTGAGGGTGGACTCTGGCTTTCACACCCATGGAAGACACCAAAGGTACATTTGTGCCTAAGTGGCTGGTAGAACCCTACAGAACATGGCCTTCTCCTATCCCCATCTTGCTGGTTGCTCTGGGCCCAGCGCTGGGAAGAACCAAATTAAAGGCCCTTTTGAAAGGTCTGACTCGGACCATCCTTAGGAAATTTGCTCAACATTGTTAATATCTAGCACATGGGGAAAGGAGTTCTGTGTAGTTCAGTTAAAATTCATGGCTGGCCAAAGACGCTACCTTCCAGTAACCTCCTTTCACATAAGGGGAACCCAAGGGTGCCTCCCAAGGGCACAGAGCCATTGTGACCCTCGAAGCAAGACCTACATGTCACTGACTCTGATTCCTGCACAGCTGATCAGGTGCTGAGGAAATTGTAGCCAGATTACGCCAGACCGGAGTCTTAAATCTCCAGCAGGGGCTCTTTTTTTTTTTTTTTTTCTTTTCTTTTCTAACCACTTGATTTAGCCGAAGAGTCCTCTGGATCACTTCAAAAATGCCAGTGGTGGGAGCCACCTCAGCTGCTGGCGGCGCTGGCCCTGGCACTGCCGAGATTATCTTCTAAGCTCCAAGGAGACTCCAGTGTGTGAGTCTCACCACTCTCTGGGGCAGGGAACTGTTGGGGTCCGGTGGTTTCCTTCCCTTCCCCCGCACACAGACTCACGGCTTTGGGTCAGCAGGAAAATGGAGAAAGACCTCCAGTTCACCCCTGGAAATAAGCTGTCCACTCCCCACCTTTAAAAGACACAGAAAAGGACAAGGTTTGGAGATCAAGTTAAATGTCCAATTTATTTTTATAACTTGAAACCAGAACAAACTTGGCTTTGAACAAGCGTACAAATGAAATGGCAGACACATGCTGAACTCAACATTGTGACATTAAGGGAAAAAAGAGGCCCCAAATCTTGTACAGAGAATAAAAGGAACAATAAATATTTTACTAAGCCATATTGAAATGACCTCCTGTCATCTCAACATTTTATCCATAATTAAAAAAAAAAAGTGCCTGTTTCTTAAACAGAGCACAAATACCAAGCAATAATAAATAGTTCCAAACTTGTAGTAAAAGACAAAACCTCCAAGTAAACAACAAAAGCTCATACAATAAGTAATAGAAAAGGTAATAAAAATATTTCGCCTTGCCAGTACAAATGCAAACAACTGAAATCAATGTAACTTTGCTTTGCAGGGCTGAGATACAAAGAGCACCAAAACACAGATTCGCCTGTGTTCAACCAAACCTCCGGCTGATGGACGGGCCGGGATGCAGGGCTGATTTCCTTACGTTTCACATTTTGCTTAAGAGTAATTCAGTCTCCTCTCCCCTTGAAAGACTCTCCAATGGCAAGTGGCAGGTTCCAATAGGGGGCAACTTTGGGCAAAGTTGTGGCAGTGTGGAACCCGGCCCCAGATTGGCTGGGTCACCCAGGCTAGAGCCCTCTCTCTGGGTCACCTGCTTCGGGGTGGATAATTTTTTTTAAACACAAAAGAGAAGCAAAATTCTCTTCTCTCTGCGGTCCACAGAGACACACAATCCTTGTGCTTTAGGATGGCTTAGTCCTGGCATTCTGGTGATTTTTGTGAGCTGGTGAGCGCTGGCCACCTGTGATAGCCGCAGGAGGACCACTGCGGGGCTCCAGAGCAGCTAACGGGCCGGGGCCAGGGCTGGGGCCGGGGCAAGGAAGGCAGCCCTGGTCCCGGGGTAGCAGGTAGGGACTATAAAACTCTGCTTTCTGACCCACGGCCCTGCCCCTTGCTTTTAACCTTGCAAAGATGAGCGGCAAGGGGGGAAGCGCCAACAGAAAAGCTCCCAGAAGAACGACTTCTGCATTTGGTAAAGAATTGCCTAGCAGGATGCTGGGTTAGACTTCCATAACCTGAAATAATGGTTTCTTACATTTCCTGAAATTAAAAAAATGGCTTCCTGATATAGGTATTTGTTAAAAATGCATTATTCCCTCATCCAAAAGACCACCACTTTTTCGTCTTAAAGCTACTTGGCTTTACAAAAAAAAAAAAAAAGGCAGGGCAGGAAGGACAGAAAGAGAGAGAAATAAACAGAAAAGAACAGAAAGAAGGCAGACAGAGGCTGGAGGATGCGGGGAAATGCAGAGGAAGGAGAGATGGATGGAAAGGCACCGAATTCATTCATCCCAGGCCTCGGCATTCGGAAACTGACGGCATGTAGGTTTCGGAGAGAAAAGCAGCAAAGTAGGGAAGAAAAACAGGCCAACGTGTCCGTGGGAGGGAAGGTTGGGTGCCGGCCCGGCTGGAAGGCGCCTGCACCGGCCCCGGCGGACCCTGCCGACCGACCGCCAGCGCCTTGCACTAGGGCTCGCTCGCGTGGTTCCCGTCTTCCCAAGGGACGAAAGCAGCTTGGTTTGCACTTCTCTCTGCCCCGAGGACAGAGGAGGGCGGCAGAGGTGGTGGTGACCGCCTCAGTGGCGACAGCAGAGAAGGAAGGGAACCTCGTCTCTCCTGCACCTGCCAGCTCACAGATGCCCTCTAAGAGGAAGGGAGGCCACCGTGGAAGGTGACCAAGGTCTTCACACAGACTGATTTTTCCGCTCAACACAAATACCGCGTTTCCCATCCAGTCTGCTGCGGCCCCTGCCAAGGCGCCCTGGGGCAAAGTTCGGGGCACTGAGCTCGAAGCCCAGCTCCAACAGTTCTTTGTGTAGGCCAATTCCGACAAAAATATATACAACTAAAATGGTTCGTGAACCAAATCACGCTGAACTGCTTCCTCCTGTCTTTTCTCAAAGGTTGTCAAACAACCCTTTTTTTTTCTCCTGTACAATAGGACTTAACATACAAATTTTTTTTGCAATATTTTATCCTGCCAAATTAAAAAAATATATTATGGCAGCCTGTTTGTTTTTGTTTTTTTTTTTCTTTTTATTTCCAAATTCACTAACAAAAAGGTACATTAAATCCCTTTAAAAGGGCAAGCTTACAGTTAAAAAATTACAAGCTCCAGTAAAAATACAGCAAGTGCCTACATCATATGAACCAACCAATATATCCATTCCAGAGGGAGGCGGGAGGAGAAAAATAAGTACAGGTCAGAAATGTGATTTTTTTTTTTTTCTGCAAAGCAATAACAATATTAAGCACTTTTTTCTACATACTTTTTCTACATGGTGTAGCAATCCCCTTTTAATCCCCAAATACAAGTTTCTATACATTTTTTTGAAATAAAAATTCAACACCCAAGGCAGAAAAAAATTTACTAAAACTCCGACTTTACAGTTACTGTGACAAGAACAAATTGATAGACCCACCATTTAAATTTTACTGCAACATTTTCAAGGAAAAAAAAGTTTTTTTTTTCTTTCTTGTTTTGTAAAATGCCCAGGCATTTTCAATGATTACAAATACTGGTCCACTTTTACAGTAATCAAGAAATTTTAATATATATAATATATACTAAAACCCCGTCACCAAAAGAAAACAATATACACGCAGCCTTTGTGGCATTTTTGTATAACCTATTAAGCAAACTTTGAAAAAAAAAAATGATCGCTCCAACACACATACACACAATTTTTTTGTTACCCTTGTATGTACCCAATACTGTAAACGTATTTTTAGGACAGAGTGCACTAAATTTAACTTTAGAAAAAATTAGTCGTTGCTCCTGAATTGTTTTTTTGTTTTGTTTTTTCATTTGATATCAACTTGTGTCACTTGAGTGTTAATTCAGCAGTAAATCACTTCCACTCCAATATCTAAGCAGCGTTGTCCCGAAAACAAAGGGGCTGAGGATAATTCAGCTAAAGGATGTCCACGGTTGTGCTGGGTTTAATTCTTCATTTGATTGGGTCTCATGTCCTCTATCTTCAACCAGGAATTTTTTTAATTAAAGAAAATGTGGCTTTGTTTGTGTCTAAAGAATGTACTTTCCTTGTTTACTTTTTTAAAAAGTCTTTTTATCTAAAAAAAAAAAAAAAGTTTTGCATTTGTCTCAAGAGACTCAGATAGGAAGATCAGTTTTCAAGGCACTCACATCAAATTGAATGGCAGTAGAAAAACTGTCCAATAAATTATTATTTTATTTTGTTCTTTATAGTGCCAGTATTGTGAATGCCACGCTTAGCAACACTGACACTCAATCTCAGCTGTCCCTTACAGTTTAACCCACCTCTGGGCCAAAGAGCAGATGCTGCAATTTCTTGTTTAGAAGCCATTTAATCTAAATGCAAACAAAAGCTTTAAAGTGCGGGTCAACAGAATTCAAATGTCTAATCCTAATAGTCCAACGTTTAGTACCTCGCAACCTAATCGGAGCAAAAAAAAAAAAAAAAAAAAAATGGGAAATAGTGCTGGGCACCTCCAGATGGGACTCTTCCCCCACTTCTCCAGGAAAAGGGAGCAGAAATTTGCAACGTTCCCCCTGTCTCTACAAGGTCACCAGTGTGCATGGCACAAGAGGACACTAACTTCAACGTTTTCCCATCAGGATGTCTATCTGCTTGAGAAGTAAATGGTCAATTACCAGGTGTAGCAACGTACACTTGGGAATCAGAGCGTGGGGTGAGAAAGAGAAGTGGTTAAGTCGGAAGCCTGGAGAACACCAGGGGATGTTTCCTTTCTGTGTCACTGCAGGCCACCACCACCTATCCAGTAATAAGTACCCTGGGCCCATGTAACGCAGCCGAATCTGCAGAGCGGGCGCTGGGGCCTCAACACACCACAAAAGGGCAATGCGTGCTGGTAACGCACACCTGTGTGCCCCTCCCAGCGCAGCCCGGAAACCGCGCTTGTGGTCCCTCCCCAATGCCCCCCACTGCAAGCTTCCCTTAATCCAATGCAACAGTTGAAACCAACACAGAAAAGGCCTCCATGACTGTCATCAGTGCTACATCTCCATTCCAATCCTGAAACAAAGTGCTACGATTTTTAAAGATTGTTATCCGCTGTACATCCACACCCCCCCTCAAAAAAAAAAAAAAAAAAAAAAAAAACCAAAGAAATGCATGCCACATTTTATTTTAGGACAAAAACAAAAACAAAAACCGAGGGGGGAAGGAATAAAAAAGTAAACAACTTTAAAAGTCATTTAAGTGTTGGCTTCTTCACAAGAAATTACACATGCTTAGCTTAAATTTCAAAAAAGCAGCACCCTCCCCCCGAAAAAAAATTATAATTTAAAAGATATGCTTCCCATCTACATTGCTTGCGAGTCATTGCTCAGACTACTGGGTGAAAAAAAAATGAAGAAGGGATGGATAGATACTCAACGAAATCTTTTAAAGGAACTTTAACAGAAAGAATAATAATAAAAAGTACCTGCACATGCCAAAAAAAATTACAAAACCCAATAAATACAGAAATTATTGCACAGTTAAAAGGCTCCACAATTTTTACTCCTTAATCAACCCTCAGGTTTCCATAGGACTTCGCAGACACAGGTTAGGTTGGGGTGCCGCCTGCCCTGGGCCCCGAGGACACGCAGGGGCGGGGCGCTCAGTGGCGGTGAGCGGAGGCAAGTCAGGTGCCCCTGTCCAGGCGCGCGCCGCGCCCGGCCCACGCCTGAGTGCGCGTGCACTTAGCTCCTCTCCGCCTGCTCGATTTTGACGTCGTTAGTTAGCAAGTGCTCACCGTGCCACTTTTTCATGTGTTTCTCCAGGGTGCTGTAGACGCTGAAGGGCATCTGGCAGATGTCGCAGCGGTACACCTCCTTGCCGATCTGCCCGTGCGTCTTCATGTGGCGCGTGAGCTTGCTGCTCTGCGCACACGCGTAGTTGCACAGCTCGCACTTGTAAGGCCGCTCGCCGGTGTGGCTCCGCCGGTGCACCGTCAGGTTGCTGCAGTTCTTGAACACCTTGCCGCAGTACTCGCACGTGTCGCTGCGCCGGCCCTCCTTGGAGCTCGGCCGGCCGGGGCCCGGGCCGCCCAGGTGCGGGGTGCTGCCCCCGCTGGCCGTGCCGCTGCGCCCCGACAGCCCGCCGTCCAGCAGGTCCCCGGGCGGCGTGGAGAAGCGCAGGCTGCCGTTCTCGGACGAGTGCTCGGAGGACGTGGCGAAGGGCGACTGGCGTGCGTCCGTGAAGCCCAGGAAGGGGTCCTTCATGAAGTGCCGCGACGCCGCGTAGCCCACGAGCCACTGCGAGTACACGTTCTCCGAGGGGATGAGCGCGGCGGGCGGCAGCTCCAGGTCCTTCTCCACCTTGATGCGCTTGCTGTTGTGCCCCGGGCTGGGCATGGGCGCGGGTTTGCGCGGGAAGAGGCCCGGGAAGGGCTCGGTGCCCGGCGCGAAGCCCCCGCCGCGCCCGTTAACCGCGCCGGCCGCGCCCGCGTCCCCGCAGCCCCCCGCGTCGTCATCGTCCACGCCCGCGTCCCCACCGCTGGCTGCGCGCTTCAAGAAGGCGCCCCGCTTCTGCTTGTCGGCCAGGAGCTCGCCGTACTGCGGGGGCAGCGCGCCCAGGCCCACGTTCTCCATGACCTTGCCCAGCACCAGCGCCTTCTCGTCGGCCAGCGCCTTGGCCGCGCTGCCCACGCCCACGCCCACGCCCCCCGGGCCGGTCACCACGCCACCGCCGTTCTCGCGGTTGCGGCTGAGCTCCGAGTCCATGCTGAAGCTGGACTCGGGCCGGCTCTCGTTCTCCAGCAGCAGCTCTTCTTCCTCCTCCTCCTCCTCCTCGTCCTCCTCCTCGGGCTCGTGGCCCAGCGAGGGGTCGCTCTCGTGGTGGCGGAAGTCGCCGTCCGCCGCCTTGAGGCCCTCGCCGGCCAGCTCGCTGGTGCCGGGCTCGGGGGAGCTGGCGGCCGAGAGCCCGTCGTCGGAGCGGCCTGCCAGCGAGCCCGCCTTGTGCATGTGCGTCTTCATGTGGCGCTTGAGCTTGCTCGCCTGCGAGCACGCGTGGTCGCACAGCTGGCACTTGTAGGGCTTCTCCCCCGTGTGGCTGCGCCGGTGCACGATGAGATTGCTCTGGAACTTGAAGGTCTTGCCGCAGAACTCGCACGACTTGCTCTTGGTGGGCGGCTGCGGCGGGGGCGTGCCGCCCGGGGGCATGGGGGGCAGCGGCGGCGTGCTGAGGAACGGGGACTTGGGGCTGGGCTGGAAGGGGTTCAGGAGCCGGTGCATAGGGTTGCCGCGGCCCGGAGACACGGGCGGCGGGGTGGCGCTGTTGCCCGCCAGCTCGCGGAGCCGCCGCGAGAAGTCCATGGCGGGCGAGTCGATGGCCATGGGGTTCAGGCGCATGACTCGGTCGAAGGCACTGGGGTGCTGGGCGACGAGCCCCATCTCCTCGGCGCTCAGACGGTGCGGGTCCAGGTGGTGTCGCGGCGGCGGGCTGAAGAGCGGCGGAGTCCCGGGCAGGCGACCCTCGCCGAAGCCCGGGTGGTCCCGCAGGATGGGGCCCGTCATGCGCAGCAGGTTGAAGGGGTTGCTGTCACCGAGGAAATTCATGAGCGGGGACTGCGCCACGGCCTCGGGCCCGAGCGGCGGCGGGATGGTGAGGCGCGGCGTGAGCGAGCTGCTGGCCGGCCCGGGCTCCAGGTAGATGCGGAAGCCGTGCGTGTTCTGCGCGTGCTGCAGCAGGAACCAGGCGCTGTTGAAGGGCTGCTTGCATGTTGTGCAAATGTAGCTGGAAGGCTCATCTTTACCTGGGGAGACAGACACACGGACAGAAAGGCAGAGAGAGCATAAGAAGGGGTGGCGGGGCGCGGGCACGCGGGGCCACAGACCAGGAGGCGCGTGGGCGTGGGGCCAGGCAGATGGGATCTGTCCAGGTGGCCTGGCCAAGGGGACCTGGGCTTCACTTTCCTTCTGCTGGCCTGGCTTGGCTGCCACATACATGCTGCTCCTTAGCTCGGGCCAGATGAGACCATGCGGGTGACAAGCCCAGACTCTACGAACAGCAATCACGAAGATCAGATTAACGACGGTCTGGGACCTCAGCCGCCTAGGCCAGGGCGCTCCTGACACTGAGACCCCAGTACTTCCCTGCCAGGTGAGGGGAGGGTTCTCCCGCTTCTGCAGGACCTCCACCATCTAGATGTCAGGAGCACCCCTCCTCAGGGGGGAAGACCCAAGGTGTCTCTTGACATCACCAAATGCCTGGCAGAGGCAGAGAATGTCGCCACCCCTCCGGCCTTGGGAACCAGTGGTGCAGAATAAAGTCTGGTTCAGGAAGCCCTAAGAACCACCAACTGTGTGGTCTTGAAAACTTCCTTCTTTTCCCTGGAAAGCTGTGACTGTGATTCCTCCGGAATGGCTACCGGAAAGCCCTCGTGTCATGCATGCCACTGTGCAGAAAGTGCCGTCCAACCAAACACAGATCTGCAGAACCGGAAACAAGAAATTTCCTACTCAGTGGAGACCCACTGCTGCGTGACAGCTGTCCCCACCCGGTGTCCTCATGCACAAACCCCCACCCGGCGCCCACCCAGCCAGTGTGGAATTCAGCCTCCGTGCATCCTGGCACAGAGTGACGGGACACCGGCCGAGCAGAGCATTCTGAGACCCTTCGCCAGAACAGTGAGGAGTGAAGGAAAAGCTGTTGCCAAATCCACCAGGATGCACAGCCGCCAGCACCGATTCGTTAGAGTCTGGCTCTGGTGACATCGGCAGGAAGCTGTCGTGGACATTGGTGGCCCTGAGCCAAACTGTCACGGTCTTTGGCCGTCTTTGGGGTAGTGAGCAAATGGAGGCTGAACATTTCATCCGGAACCTTCTCTGGGTGGCCCCTGCCGACCTGTGGGGAAGCCAGCCATCGCGTCAGCCAGAGCCCCAACCGTCTCACGAGAGAGATGGGGATGGAGAAGCCTCGGCATCGGTCATCGGCTGCACCAGCTGCATGAGCAGGAAGGGCAGAAGAACTGGGGTTCCCCACACACACACACACCGTCAACCCGAGCCTGCGGGAGACACTGCCAAGCCCCTTTTGCCTCCTCAGACTTCCCTCCACCTGGAAGCCTTTAATGCTGGTATCAAACTCGGTCTTGCAGACTCCCTGGTGCAGCCATGTGAATGTGAGCTGCCCTACACATAAGGGCACATGGGAAGGGGATAAGATGACCCCCCACCTTATGAAATCCTGGGCACACTAGGCTTTCGTTTTGTTTTGTGTTGGGGAGCAGGGAGTGCTGCTAACTCCTTGGGAACCCTTCTAAACAAATGCCACACAACTCAGGGACCAAGGGCCCCAGATTCTGTCTCAGGGCTTAGTCTTCGGTGCACGCCTGTCTCATATCAGAGTTACAGGCTTCTGTGTGGCCAGGACCCCCCGGACAGTGCTGTGTGTGCACTGTCATAGCAGCTGTCCACAGGGCAGGCACCTTGCGTGGGTTGGGGGGTGAGGGCGGTACAGGAAGCCAAGGCCAGGGAGGCCCCGAGACCTCAGCTTCCCCTCTGCACAGCACCCCTAACCAAGAGTGGCCCGGCTTCTCAGTCACCATCCCAGTCCCCAGCATCAGTTAATGTCCTTAGGGACAGGACACTGCACCTCAGCTCATGGGTGAGCTAGCTAGAAGCCATCTTGAGACTCCTCTTCAAGGTCCTTTACTTATTGATTGATTGGTCATTAATTGATTGATTAGCAAGACAGACTATATAAGTAATATATGAGAAGATAAATAAAAGTCCCTTTCAGACACAGGAGCTAACACAAATGAAATGCCGTGTCCTGAGAGGTCACAGATCTTCAAATTAACATTTGGGTCTGTATCCTTCCCATTTGTGTCTCCCTAATTCAACCAGTAATGGCATACAGCACCCCGGTTCTGTATGTCCTTGAGCTGGGTCACCTCCTGCCCCCACCCCCACCCCATCTTTACTTCCTTGGGTAGCTCTGGATCACTTCCTGTTTCTGGTGGCCACACATTTTCTAGAAAGTTCTTCAGCGGTGAGCAATACTGAAAGCAGAGGAAACTCTGAGGTCCGAGGCAGGCAGAGAAGGAAGCACTGCTCAGAGCCGAAATGGCCGATTACGTTTTTTTTAAACTCAGAATGCCAGCTGCCGGGAAGCGTGTTGCTGCCTGTTCTAAAGAGCTCTGATGTTTCCACTTCTTTTTTTTTTTTTTTTTTTTTTTTAAGAAAAAAAAGACAGTTCTAAAACTCTTAACCTGGAGGTGCCTAGGGAACGAGGTTACCTGTCCATAACTCACCACGAAGTGTCAAAGAGCTATGCGACTCGGCGGGTCGGATTTCAGGGCCACTTGTCACTCCCAGGTGAGCTCTCTCCTTACCTGGAGCCCCAAAAGCTCCTGGCCCAAAGAACATGATTCGCTGCAGGCAGTGGCCTCCTCAGGGTCTCCGCACTACTGAATTTTAAAACTCTCCCAGCCCTCCATCCCTAGACAGACAATGTCTTCCTATCACCCCACCTTTCTTTTTTTGTTAAATAAAATGTTCATTACCGTAGTGTGACTTTATGGTTATCTCTTGCCTACAAGTATCCCCAAGCACGGGGCTGTTTGCCTTTGAGAACTGAACAATGTCAGAAAGTCGTTATTCTATTAGAACGCTCAACAATACGTTTTTAAGCACAGCACACAGTTGTGGAAGGCTGGTTTTTAAATGTGGCGACAGAAGGCCCTTGGGTGCAGGCTGCTTCTGACTTAAGGCTGGCATGCTCCCCTTTAGGGCAGTGGGACACTGCTTCAGCGATACCCCTTCCTTGAACTTGGGGCCACCTGCCCATGTGAGCCAACAGTGCCCTGCAGCATGAGACAACTGCTTTCTTTGCTGGTGAAGCACTCAAGAGTCTGCGGCTCCTGTGGCCCTGTGTTCCCACTGATAGGTGGAGGCCTAGATGACTCAAGAGCATTTATTCAGAGCCATCAAACCTGCCCTACAGATCGGAAAGGCCAGCTGCGTGCTGGGTGATGCCCGACCTGGGCCTGCGTGCTTACTCCTTCTTTGCTCAGGAAAAAATCCACCTGCCTCCAAAGAGGGCTGGGGGACTGCTGAGCTGCTGCCCCTTTAAATGGCCCGTGACAGTGCCGCCAGTGCAGTGGGGTGCGTGCAATTTGTTTTTTGTTAGCATCCTTGTACCTGGCTGTGGCTGTCTGGGGATGACTCTGGCAGTAATAAAACCCTGGAGGAATTTTAATGCAGCCTGCCTCGTGCCTGCGTTAGAGGTTCCAGGAAACTAGAAACTTGCAGACGTTGAGAAAACATGATTTTTTATTGTGACGCTTGGGAACCGACAGGCAACTGGACCTCTGTGAGGAAACGCTCTCCCTCGCTGCCACGAGGCTTTTCTTAATGAGCATTTAAATAATCGTTCCTCCTTATTACTTTGCATGCTCTAATAACACCAATAAAGGTACCAGGGGTGGTCAATAAAAAGCACACCTTTAATTGAATTATTATCCCTGGAAAAGGCCATAATTGAGGGGGCGGATCCTCCTAAGGCCAAGAATGCGAGGGGCTCTCGCCTAAGTGTCTGGCAGCTGGTTTGGCATTTACACCTATGTCAGCTCTTTTCATGTTGCTCACCACAGCCTCTGAGAGATGACAGGTGAGGATCACACCCCTCTTGGTAAACAAGGTGACACTGAGCAGCTGAGCTGCAGAGCCAGGACGTGGAAGGGCCACGTGCCTCCTCAGAGTTCCCAACTCTGACCAGCATCCACCCCTGGAGGGATGTATTGTCCTCTCCACACTTGTCACAGTGAAATGGCCAGGACCGAGGTTCCCGCTGCACTGTGCGTGACTTTAGATGGACAGGGGACAGACCCAGAACAGGCCCTGACCTTAGAGAGGAATCATTTCTCAGTGCCAGCAAGCATGCAGTGCCACGGTCCCCAGGAACACAGCAATGAGGCCACGAGATGCCAAAGAGACTGGGCCCAGGGGCAGGAAGCCAGGTCCAGGATGCCCCGTGGCGGGTCGTCTCCCTTGTCAGGACTTCAAGATGCCGGGGACCAAGGTGTGCTGGCTGGGCCAGGTGACCACTTAACCCTCCTTCAGAACCTGCGACTGCCAAGGACACCACCTCTGGAGCTCCCGGATGGTCCCTCAAATGCATGGATTCCTTCCTCACTTAAAAACCATTCACCAGGCGGGGGCATGGCTCAGTGATAGGATCCCTGCCAAGCATCAGAGAGGCCTCCTGGGTTCAATCCCTAGTGCTAAAAAAATAAATAAAAATAAAGCCCATCTCTTTTTATGATGTCAGGAAGAAAATGTCACTTGGGCACCTTGGGGTCTATGCAGGTTTCACTTTTGTATTTTTCCTGGATATGGTCCTCTGCAAAGTCAGTAAGCATCCCTGCTTGTTCCAGATTCCCTGGGCACACCTCAGCCCTCTCCACAGTGGAAGTGGGGAGCGAGAAGAACAGGAGCAGTGATAACCAAACAGCCTCAGGGCATGGGTACCCCAAGTGCCAACTCCATCCCTGCCATTGACAGAGCAGACGTGAGGACCAGAAGAGAGAGGCAGGATGTGCCCCGGGCCACACAGCTGACAAGGGGCGGTACCTGTGCTCGCGTGCACCTGTGCTGTCATGATAAAAACCAGGTCAAGAGAAAAGTGTGTAGGTCAAGGGCCCAGGGACAGGCAGGGGCAGCTGCCTGTAGCTCAGGAACAAAAACATCAAGATGTGTTGCTTTGGGCTAGAACGGCAGTAACTCAGTGAAACCCCATTGATTAGTTCAT